ATAATTTATACAGTAACAGTTATCTACATATATGATTATATATTCTATGTATATGTATAATATATAATATATATTATGTAACAACATTATACAGAAAAACAATTTTGAAAGACTTTATAACTAATCAGCGCAATGACAGACCACAAGTCTAAAAGAATGAAGGTAAAGTGCACCATGCACCTCTTAACAGGAGATGAACTTAAAATGCAGAAGTGACATACATTTTTGAACGTGGTTAATGAGGAAATTTGTTTTGTTAAACTGTGCAGGTATATATATTGAGGGACTTTTTTATTTGCTGAATAGAGTGAGGGTAGTAGAAAGATTAATTTTATAAATGTGTTTTATCTGAAAAACAAAAAAAATAATGAATACTAACACCAGTTTGTTTTCTTTAAGATGCCCATGTCCATGTTCCTACTGAAGTAAAAAAAAAAAAGTACTAAAAATATTTTTTGCCATCCCTTTTGAAAGCAAAACAATTTCAAAGAAACACATGGTCATAGGCAGCATTTTCACTAACCTATCACTTAACAATAGAATTTAGGAAATTATGCAATATAGAATCTAATACCATTAGGTGGGGGGATGCTTTAGTTTATTTGAGGGAGAAAAGGTAATTATGTAGACATCCATTTGTTAAATGGATGTCTGTAAGTAGAGGATGAGTAGTAGATATGCAACCTTGACCTGTTATCAGACTACATATAACCTGGTCACTCTTCAAGTTTCAAATAAAAATTATTTTTAAAAAAATGCATTTCAATAAAAAAGACCTAGTTGGCAGAAATACAAAAAGATATCTCAAGATGGATGCTGCCATATGAAGCCAGAATGGTTAAGAGCCCTCTAGAGCAAGAAATGGAAAAAGCTGAGAAAATAATCCTCACAAGACTGACAGTGACAATGGAAAAGGTGAGGACTCTGAAAGGGAAGTAGTTCTTTTGGAGAAGTAGAGTAATGAAGGGATGAGAGAGAGAGAGAGAGAAAGAGAGAGAGAGAGAGAGACAGAGAGACAGAGAGAGAGACAGAGAGAGAAAGACAGAGAGAGAGACAGAGAGAGAGACAGAGGGAGAGAGAGAGACAGAGAGACAGAGAGACAGAGAAAGAGACAGAGAGACAGA